CCCCGTTCAGGTTGACACCCAGACTTGATTCAGATGTCACTTCCCACGCCAGCTGGTGGTTCTAGCAAGCTGAATGACACAGGTATGTCCACTTCTTGTTCCCATGACACTCTGAGCACCTCCTCATCTTCCACACAGTGCGTTATATTATACCTTCAAGTATGCTTCCAAGATGGACCAAGGTTTGTTTGTTTGTTTTGTTACTTTTATTTTATGTGTATGAGTGTATTGCCTGCATGTAGGTAAGTGCACCCATGTTGTGCAATGCCCACAGAGGACGGAAGAGACCATCGGATCCCCTGGAACTGGTGTTATGGACAGTTGTTAGCTGCCACGTAGGTGCTGGGATTCGAACCCGGGTCTTCTGCAAGAACAGCCAGTATTCTTAACCACTGAGCCATCGCTCCAGCCCCCCGCCCCAAGTTTTCTTTTTAAATTTTTTTTAAATTTTATGAGAATATTCCCTGCATGTATGTAAGTACACCTGTGTCATGCAATGCCCACAGAGGTCAGAAGAAGGCGTTGATCCCCTGAACTAGAGGTATGGACAGTTTTTAATCCACCAAGTGGGTACTGGGAACTGAATCCAGATCCTCTTCAAGAGCAGCCAGTGCTCTTACCTGTGAGCCATCTCTCCGGCCCAGGACAGTAGGTTTCTTGACCCTGGTTACCAATGGTAGGTGTAACACATATTACTGAATAAATTGTTGGACAGGCTCCATTTTAACTCAGTGTAGACGCACTCAAACCATTATTGGCAGGTGTGGTGGTCCACATCTGTAATCTCCACCACTTGGGAGGTGGAGGCAGCTGGATCAAAAGTTTAAGGTCAGCCTGTACTATCTAGTGAGCCCAACATGGGCTACATGAGAACCCGGTCTCAAAGACAAAACAAACCAAAACACAAGCCACTATGTCTAAGCTAGCCTGTCTTCAAGGGGGAGAAAATATAGATGTGAAAAAAATTCAGTCACAGGCTTTAACCACATTTTACTCTGTTCTGCTACAAATTTTAATTATCCTATAATTAGTAAAACATCCACTAAAATTGTCTTCTTTGCTTGTTCTGACAGCAGCCACAGGGTTGCGAACTTATCTGTTTCCATAGATCCTGTAACTACCATTCACTCCACAACCAGTTTCTTACTGAAAAAATAGCTTCTACCTTCACTGAGCACACTTCTGTTTCTTGTTTTATATGGAAGTGGGGATTACTGCACATACCAGTACCCCTGATTGAACACTGAACACTGGGAAACTTAGTACCCACATTCACGTCCTCATTGAATCCTCTTCAGAATCCCTTGAGGTAACTGTTATAATGCTGTTGCAGGACTTTTCCTGGAGACTCCATTTCTGTTCACGCAAGATAAAACGGAAACAAGAGACCAAAGAAACAATTCCATCCAAGTCCAGCTTGGTGAGCCAATGAGTTTATTGGGGTTACTTACAAAAGCTTGGATGAGTGGTGACTTTCAGGTGCATGGGTGGCTCAGGCAGATGCATCACCAAATCGCCCACTCTAGAATGGGTGACAGTTCACAAAACCTGCATTACTTGAGGTTCCCTGTTCAATCTGCATTCAGCTAGTCTACCAAGCTTCCCTGTCTCCCCTAATAGCTTACTGCTTATAATATAACCCTGTGAAGGGGCCTCCTGACTCTTCCAAGTTCCTTTCTAGTGCCTCCCTCCCTCCTTCCCTCCCTCCCTCCCTTCCAGCCTGAGAAAAGAGTTATACATTCACCCATTTAATAAATTGAACTGAGGATGAAGTGTTCCAACACCAAGTGACTAAGGAACAGAGTAGATCTGAACCTAAGTCTCATTTTAGAGAGCTTGAGTTCTTAAGCACCACATTATGCGACCTTTCACTACTGGAAATGGCTTTGTGAAGAGTTCACAGTCAGTACCCCAGTCAGCGCCAACTATGGCCTGGGCTGAACCTATGTTCATTCCAAGGCAAAACTAAACAGACTGGCTCTCTGGGATTACAAAGCCAAACTGGCTTTGCAGGAGGAACTAAGATCAAACAAATCCTGGCCACTTTACAGCCTTCCCCACTGAATGGCTTCTCTCTACAGCAGTCAGTGTACAAATAAAACTAAGCACTGAAACTCTATTAAAAATCCGAGCTCAGTCCTTACCAATCTATGCCTGAAACTGTCTTCATACGGTCTCAAAATTATCTTCATATGGTTTTGTCCTTGAAACATTGGCCTTTTAAATGAACCTTAAGAACTTTATCAGGGATCACAGGCTGAATTGGTTTGGAGGGAAGCATGCTTTTCTAACTGCCAATAGTGTTCAAATTTTTTAACTCTCATCAGAAATGATGAGGGGCAGAAGTATTTGAAGAGAGATCCCACACACATTCTTGGGGCAGCGGTGGTGGCTGCTGGGTGGAAATGGGGGGGTGGCACTTAGAATCTTGAATCCTGCCTGTCTTGCTCTTCTAGTAGCAGGGTACAGACCGCTAGGAATCAGGAAAGGCGAAGGTCTCGGCCTTTGTCCCTATTTCTTCATGACTTTGGTAATAACCTCAGGCACCTCACAGCTTTGGCAAATAAGACTCAAATGTCAAAACCAGCACTTGACAACTGCTTATAAATGTGGAACCCATGGATACAGAGGGCTGGCCACATATATATTTGTGTCTATTACTTCCTCACAACTAATTCTGAGTTTTCCTGTTTTGAGTCTTGCTGTGCAGTCCTATCTCTTCTGGAACTTGCTATGTATCCTAGACTGGTCTGGAACTCGGGATCTGGTCTCAGCTTCCCAAATGCTGATATTAAGTTGTACACCACACCTGGCTACAATTCTGTCTTAAAATTCCTACTGCTGTGGAACACTGTCCTCCACGCAGGGAATGTCACTGCCCTGCCCACTTGGGTTTTCAACACCTGTGACCATCTGTACAAGATTGGGCACACTAACTTTCTGTCATGGGTGGGCTCACCAGGTCCTGTCATTTACCCAAAGATTTAAGCAGCTAGTGGTTACTTTGGGGTGGGGTACTGAGATTTGTTTTCCTTCAGGGATATATCCCCCTAAAGTTGCCCATGCTCCTACTGATTAAACTTACTGATTCACCAAGCTACAAAGTAGACTTGTTTCTGTCACCATGTCCTACCTGGACTGAGTATGTTCACGTCTCCTCAGAAAAAGTTCCCACACCACCTACTTGTATGCTTACCTATAATTTAGGTTGTATAAGGGAAAACCCATATCCTTGTAGGAAACAGTATTTTTCAAAGTATTAAGGAATTAATGTATATGCCTAATAGAATAATCTTAGCCCTCAAGACAGGCATCATAGCAGGTTTACATCCTGGAACTGCCCACGGTGTCTTTTCTCCTCGGCTTGAAGGCAACAATTTGCCTCTTAACAGGTATATGTGGCCCAACTTTGGTACACCTTAAAGATGACCACTAAGTAATCCCAATACCCATATTGAACAGACAGCAGACAGAAGCAAGCAGTAAAAGAAACTGATTTGTAATATTATTTATTTGTCCTTTTTCCTGTCTTCAGAAACCAAGAAAGAAAAAAAACTGAGTTTCAAGACATGGAAACAAACCTAGCTGGCCTCATTCAGAGATGCCCTCTCCAGGTGATACAAGAGCATGGTCTATCTACTTAACACTGGGGATGAAGCAAGTCCTCTGGGAAAATGGGTCACCCACTGCAAACGAGAGACTTCAAGTCTGACTCCCAGGATGAACCAGAAGTGAGCTGTCTACACTAAGATGTTTTTTTGTGGGTCCTATGAAGTGGGATCACACTGAGAGAAATAACGTTTATGAAGGGAACCAGTGCTGGGGACTGAACTCAGGGCCTCACCCATGTTAGGAAAGTACTCTACCACTGAGCTACCTCCCAACTCAGAAGAATAGGATTACCAGTGCACTTTTTTTTTTTTGGTCTTTTTCACAGGGTCTCTCTGTACCCCAGCTGTCCTGGAACTCACAACGTAGCCCAGGATGGCCTTGAACTCAAGAGATCCGCCTGCCTCTGCCTCCCGAGTGCTGGATTAAAGGCCTACATCACCACACCTGGCTCCAGTGCACTTTTAAATGCAGTCTTGACTTATGTTTCTCCTTGCACTTAAATCCTGTGACCTTACCTTTTTTCACAAATTAAACCAATACTGTACCATTAAGGACTGATACTCCTGCAAGTCATTGCTCAAACTAGTGGGAAAGAGATTTCCAAGAGTTATTAACTCTTCAAGGTAAGGGTTTGACTTTGTTATAAGCAAAACTCAAGCCAATTTCTGAAGCATATGACTAAGAAAAACTTTTATGAAGCTAAAACTTGAGAAAAAAAATTATTTTTGAGATAGGGTCTCATGTAATCCAGGCTGGCCTCCAATTCACCACGTAGCCAAGGATAACCACTACCGCCTAAGTGTAGGGATGACTGCTATGTACTACCGCAAGCAGCAAGCCAAAATCGTTTTAAAAGCTCTTAAATACTATGGGCTCCACTGTTATGCAACACTGTCCGGGGGAACAAACTTCAATCCTCATGACTCACGCCTGTATTACACAAGCTTCTAGAGCTTTCCTTCATTTTTCATGAAGGGTGTTGGGTGTCGATATTTGGTATTCAGTTCATGAAAACACAGCGGGCTGTTAGTGCAATTTCAAACACCCTAGGTTAGTTCCTCAACCTTTTAAAAATATGGCCAGAAAAGGAACTTCTTGCCCGGAACTACTTCCAAACAGTCCTAAGACTTGGCCTAGGAATGATCACAAACAGGGCAGGAGAGGCAAGGCACCAGGAACTGGAAGCAGAAATTAATTCCGGAGTAAGCCGCAGGGCACCGGCTCTGCCGCTCAGCTCCCAACCCGGGCCACCGGGTCCCTCCATCTCCCATCTGGCCACAACGGTGGTCTGCGTGCAGATCAAAGCCGTCCAGGGGGGCAGCTGCTCCAAGTTACCGTCGCTCCCCAACCCAGCACCCCATCATCCCACTACACAGCTCTCTGGATCACTCGATTTTCACGGACTTTATTGGCTCCGGACTCCAACGGGCTCCTCACCGCCCGTGTCCCAGGGCCTGACGGCCACCGACCCTCCGTGACACCCGCACGGGCGAAGGACCAGCTGCGTGGGGGCGCGTCCGGGTCACTTGCTCTTGACTTTCTGGCTCTCGGTCTTCTTGGGCAGCAGCACAGCCTGAATGTTGGGCAGGACGCCGCCCTGCGCGATGGTCACTTTGCCCAGCAGCTTGTTGAGCTCCTCGTCGTTGCGGATGGCCAGCTGCAGGTGGCGCGGGATGATCCGCGTCTTCTTGTTGTCGCGGGCCGCGTTGCCCGCCAGCTCCAGGATCTCGGCCGTCAGGTACTCCAGCACGGCCGCCAGGTAGACCGGGGCGCCGGCGCCCACTCGCTCCGCGTAGTTGCCCTTGCGCAGCAGCCGGTGCACGCGGCCCACGGGGAACTGCAGCCCCGCGCGTGACGAGCGCGACTTGGCCTTGGCGCGCACCTTGCCGCCCTGCTTCCCGCGGCCGGACATACTCGACCTCAAGCCCGGAACTCCAGCCGAAAAGCCACGGCCGTCGGGCTCGGTTCCGGAACGCAACGCACCACCCCGGAACTGCCTCGGCCGGCTCCGCCCAGTGAGCGGTGCCACCCGTGACGGGCAGCCGCCTCATCCAATCAGCTTGCTAGCAGACGGCCCAACCTGCCATACTCGCCCCAATCAAAAGTGCAGATTCCTAGTCCTCATTTACATAGGCGGCCAAATGACTACCCGAGGCCTGCCGGGAAGCACCAGCTTGGTTTTCAGTATTCCTGCTGGCTGCCAAGGAAGGGGAAACTGGGGGTGGCTCACGCCTGTGATCCCAACACGGGAATAGCTGAGGCGGGAGGATTGCCAGGAGTCTGGGCCACCATCAGTCTGGCTACAAAGTGAGACCGTTTCTCAACAATAGCCAGAGTTCCAGATCAGCATGGACTACATACAGAGCGAGACAATAACAAAGAATTAAGCACAGGGGCTGAAAGGTTAAGAACGATGGCTGGTCTTAGGGAGGACCCGGGTTCAGGTCCCAGCACCAACATGGCGGCTAACAACCGTCTCTAACTACAGTTCCAGGGGATCCAAGGCCCTCTTCTGACATGCAGGCAATACACTCATACACATAAAATAAAAATAAAATATATAAAAAAGGATTAAGCAAAGCCAGGCGTGGTGTATGTCTGCAATTCTAGTTATCTCTTGGAGACTGAGGTAAAGTGGTAGGATTGAAAGTTCAAAACTAATCTGGGCTAAATTATGACCTCCAGGTCAGACCAGGCTAGGAAGGGAGACACTATCTCAAAACCAAACAAAATTAAAGAATTTAGGAAAGCAGAGTGGTGGTGCATGCTGGTAACCCCAGCACTCCAGAGGCTGGGGTGGGGGTGAAGAATTTGAGTTGAGCCATGGTTAAGAGCAAAATTACCTCAAATGGAGAAAGAAAAACAAATGAAAGCAAATCAAAAACATCCTGAAGATGCATCCCTCTGTCCCCAAGTACCCTCAACAGTTAACGTTAGTAGGTGTGCTGGAGGTGGCTGCGGGCTTTGGAGAGCTGGTTGGCTCTGGCCTATGCTAACTACACCCCATGAGGCAGTTCCCCTAGCAATGGTCTGTCGTTCTCAAGAACTGTACCTCTCTTCGGTCTTCAAAGCTGATGACAGACTAGACAGGAACAGTTTCTGGCTTGGACAAGCTCAGTTGGCTGAAACAACATTTCTTGGCTCCCAGCCTATGTATAGGTTTACAAAGAGTCATTGGATTCCACAGGAGAGGCCACTGGAACAGCTCAGAGGTGCAGGCTGCCTAGCCTTTGCTTGCTCTCCAAACTTTTGTTTGTTTTTTGAGACAGAGTCTCTCGGTAGCCCCAGCAGGCCTAGAATTCACTGTATACCAGGCTGGTCTTGATCTTTCAGAGATCCACACTGCCTCAGCCTCCCACATGCTGGGATTAAAGGCCTGCACCACCACACCCAGACATTATTTAACTTTTATATTTTATCCCTGTTGAAAAGTGTTTGTGAAGCTGGTAAGCATTCAATAACGGTTATATATACTGAATAAATGGATATACAAATCTCTGATGTCGTTTTTGGCTTAAATTTAATGGAAATTAAAAAAATATTTTTTGAAAATTTAACATATGAGCACTGTATTTCCATCATTTCCACTCCCCCCCCCATGTAAAATTATTCACAGAGCTTTGGAAGTATTATTTTAGGTGCCGTTTTTCCTTCAATTTTTGTAAGAATTCTAACGAGCTAAGGATTTAACATCATAAGGTAAAAATAATTAGTTTTTTTGCCCTCCAGTGGTGGGCTCTTTTAACGAATTATTAATATACTGAGAAACTAAAAAGAAACTAGGCACCATGAGTGCTCAGGGGCCCACAGCCCACTTGTTAAAACTTAACAAAAACCAGAACCAGCCTTATCAAAAGGCTGCAGGACAGGCAGGCGTCAGTCAAGCTTCACAGATTAAGCCATAAACAAGTTTTACAGACAGAACTCCTGACCACCCTGGGGGCCCGATACCAGGAAATCTTTAGAAAACGTCTGTTTTAAAAGTAATATTTAAAAGCCTTTAGATCTATAAAAATTTAGTGTAATCTCCCTACTGGGAAGGCTTATCTTCAAGATTACAGATCAGAAAAAAAAAAATCTAATTTACTAAAATGTTCATTCCTCAACATGTCCATTAAGGTCCTGGGAAAGTACTATGAATCCTATCTTAAATCCTGCTGCCTTTTAAAATGCGATGAAACCTCAGTAAGAGTCCTGTCTTAGAAGAACAGAGACACACTCATACTTTGAATTTTTGTTCAGGGGGTCTCCTGAGAAAAAAAACTTAGCCTTTCTCTGGTTTTGGGGACTTGTGTTAAAAATCAGCGTTCCAAGACCAGGTTCTGGCAACTGTTTATAAGAACTTGGAATGGAGGAGGAGGCTTGTGGAGTTGAGGCAGAAGCTCAGCGTACCCCAGCTGTTCTGGAGCTTTCCCTGTAGCCCAGGCTGGCCTGGAGGGCCCAGCAATCCTCCTGCCCGAGCCTCCCAAATGCTGGGATTACAGGTGTGAACCACTGCACCGGGTTAGAATTTCTGACTTTTAAACCGAAGCTTTGAGAACCTCGAATCTAAATGACAGGCATTTACAATAATTCAACTCAATAGCTATAGAAACAGACACGTGGGTGAAAAGCAAATACAAAGTGTGTATGGGGGGGCGGCAGGAAAATTCACAAACTATATAGAAACAGATGAGAGCAAAAAGGAGGCGCAGGGGGGAGCGGGAAAGTCAGATTTATTAAAAGAATTTGGGTGCACTTACATCATGCAGGCAATACACTCACTCACACACACACACACACACACACACAATATTTTTTTAAAATAATTTTCTTAGGTGTGGTCACGAGAAAATGAACCACCCAAATACTTCTCCAGCCACTAAAAAAGACCCACACGTGACTAAAATCTAGTAGGACACGTCGGTAGCTCCTACTGATTGATAAATTACTTCAAAGTAGTGTAAGAGCATGCATTCTGTTTAGAAGAAAATGAAAACAAACAACCCACAATAACGAATTAGAGCGCAGGGACAGAAGCAAGAATGACTAAACCTACTTTTTATTTGCGGTAAGAAAAAGAAAAATAAACTATATTGCTTAAACTTTCAAATCTATCAGTATTCTTCAAATTCATGGGAAATATTAGTCTGGTCTATATAGAGAGTTCCGGGCCAGCCGGGGCTACCAGGGGACACCCCTGTCTCAAAAAAACAGAAAAACAACAAAAAAAAGACTTTTCCCGCCTTGCTTAGCCGGCTTTCGGGCGGTGCAGCTGCCGGGAGGACCGCGCCAGGGGTGGAGCCTAGAGCTCCGCCCACTTTCCTGCTGTTTTCAAACAGGTCCGCCTTCAGGGACTATAAACCCTGCTCAGCGGCTCACTGTTTCGGGTTGTATTCCTAGGTCTTAGAAAAGATGTCTGGACGTGGTAAAGGAGGCAAAGGGCTTGGCAAGGGCGGCGCCAAGCGCCACCGAAAGGTGCTGCGCGACAACATCCAGGGCATCACCAAACCCGCTATCCGACGCCTGGCCCGCCGCGGTGGCGTCAAGCGCATCTCAGGGCTCATCTACGAGGAGACTCGTGGGGTGCTTAAGGTCTTCCTGGAGAACGTCATCCGGGACGCCGTCACCTACACGGAACACGCCAAGCGCAAGACCGTCACGGCCATGGACGTGGTCTACGCGCTCAAACGCCAGGGCCGCACCCTTTACGGCTTCGGCGGCTGAGCGCCTCACCACCCGAACCCCAAGGGCCCTTTTCAGGGCCCCCAAAACCTCGAGGAGGAGCTAGGAACACTGGGGGCCAGCAGAAAGGGTGGGGCAGGATGGAACTCTGTCGGGGGTCTGCATAGCATCCTGTATGCAAATTAGGGTGAGGGAGCCCGCGTTCTTAGTGGGAGGAAGGCTGGCTTTGGGCCGTCCCGCGTGGATCCACCCTCCTAGCAGATGAAAGCCATTTTGCATCCAGTAAGCGTCCTCATTCCTTTAATCTGGATGCTGGTCCTGAGCGCTGGTCTGTGGCAGACTTGCAGGGATGGTTTTTCTTTGCAAGTATGTGGGGTGAGGTACTCTAGCAAAGCCTGGACGGTGCCAGTGAGCAGACATCCTCGGTCGGTGATGCAGGGACTGGGGAGGAAGCTTGGACCCCCAAGTAAGACCTGATCACTCAGCGTTAACTAGGATTCCCCTGCTATAGCTTTACCTTCCTTGAGAGATTTGTGTTTTTCTGGAAGATTCACACAGTTTAGGCTAGACTGGCCTGAGTGAGTTTCCTGTCTCACGTTCCTGAGTGCTGTGATGACAGGCCAGGATCCGGCCCCACCAGGCTGTGTGCCACATTTTTAGAAGATGGCTGAGCAGTTCAGCCTGCTTGTATTAAATTCCCAGCTCAAACACCTGTAACCAGCCCCTAGAGGGATCTCAGCTTTGGCCTCTGCGGGCACCTGCACTCGTGTGCACCCTCCACCTCATACATTAATTAAAACAAAATCTTTATAAAGAATGAGTTGGGTGTGGTGGCGTGTGCCTTCAATCCCAGCTGAGGCAGGCAAATCTCTATTATGGGATCTACAAAGCGGGTTCTAGCCCAGGTGGGACTACAGAGAGACCCTGTCAGAATAGAGAGAGAGAAAGAGGAGGGAGGGGAGGGGAGGGATGTTAGTAATAGATGTTACTGGGATTTCCACAGCAGTAGCCTAGCATTTCATTAGGAATGGTTAACTATCTTGTGTTAAGTGCTTATTGCTTGTGTCCCGTTTCCCAGAAAATTTATGAAGCAGTTACAGATGCAAAAGCTACTACAAGGGTTAAAGAATTGGAGCCAGCGCCGGAGGTGGTGGTGCATGCCCTTAATCCTAGCACTCGGGAGGCAGCTCTCTGAGTTCAAGGCCAGCCTGGTCTACATAGTGAGTTCCAGGCCAGCTGGGGCTACAGGGAGACCCTGTTTCAAAAAGACCAAAAAAAAAAAAAAAAAAAAAAATTGGAACCAGGATTTGAATCCAGCCCTGTGGGGCCTCACAGCTCTTTTTTAATCCGTATGTACCACTGTTTGCCATCCGGGCTCTTTTCACCCTGTTGGCTGATGTTTCACTTACAGTATTTTCCCTTGAAACTGCGCAGGCTCGGCTCCTTTCCTTAATGAAAGTGAGAAAGATAACTGAAAAAAGTAATGCAGTTGAGCTGAGCTGCTTTCCATACGTTTCTGTCTTCAGAAAGATCGTTTTCAGTGACTGCTGGTGAGCGTTTGTCAACCTGACACAAACTAGAGACACCCAGGAAGAGAGGCTCCCAGTTGAGGAACTGCTTCCGTGGATTGCCCTGTGGCAGGTCTGGTGCATTTTCTTTTTTAGGGGGTGGGGAGGGGGCGTGTCTTTTTGAGCCGGTCTCCCTGTTGCCCCAGCTGGCCTGGAACTCACTACGTAGACCAGGCTGTCCTTGAACTCACAGAGATCCGCCCGCCTCTGCTGGGATTCAACGGGTGCACACCACATCCAGCCTCTGGCGCATTTTCTTACTTGTTAATTGATGTTCAGAGAGCTCAGACCACTGTGGACAGTGCCATCTCTAAGCAGGTGGGCCTGGTTGGGGGAGGGGAGACTGGAGAGATGGCTTAGTGGTTAAGAGTGCTGACTGCTCTGCAGAGGACCCAGGTTCAGTTCCCAGCACCCACATGATGGCTAAGAAATGTCTGTAACTCCAGTTCCAGGGGGATCTGATGCCCTCTTCTGACCTCTGAAAGCATTACATAACATGAGTGACTTGCACACAAGCAGGCAATACACTCATACACATAAAATAATAAATACGTTTTTTTTTTTTAATTTCTAGGCGTTTGTTTGCCTAGTTTTTTTTTTTTTTTTGGGGTGTATGTGGGTGGGTGTGTGTGTGTGTGTGTGTTTGTTTGTGTGTGACAAAATCTCACTCTATATCCCAGGCTGACCTCAAACTCATAGCAGTCTCCTGCCTCAGCCTCCCAAGTGCTGGAATTACTAGTTCCCACTGTCATGCCTGGCTTCATGACAATGGTCTTGAGGAATATTAATGAATTGCCTTTCATCAGAGTTTCTGTCTTTTTTTTTTTTCTTTTTTTAAACAGATAACTTGTCTTGGGGTTAAGGGAATTGCCCCCTACCCCTATGCAGGATGAGTCACAGATCTTTCCTGACAGAGGAAGAAGCTTTGAAGACAACTAGGAAATCTGGGGCTGAAATCAATGAAATTTCAAGCTAGCTTTAAAAATGAGGCATTAATATTATAGCAGGGTTAAGTTTTAATTTTCAATTTGGAGGAGGTATTTGGGAATGGACCCAGGACATGGTGTATTAACAAAGCACATGTTTGAACAGTGAGCTACATCCCCAGCACCCTTAATTTACAGTTTTAATGTAGAGCACTTTTCACAGGGGATGACACACTAAGGCCTTCTGTAAATCCTGTAGAAATTCAGAGTAGTTGAACTGTCAAACAGCCTATTGATCCTTTGTAAATTGCTCAGAAACGTTGAAATGGGAGTATGTCTAATCTTCATTCTGCATTCCATACCTACTGTACCCAAAGCTTCAAAAAATGAATACACAGAAATTTGTGGATGGCTTATTATAATTGCATGTTATTTTACAAGCTAAAATATTGCCAGAGGATGGGATTCAAACACTCTGGCAAAATCTATGGTTCTAACTGCCACCTACTGGACATAAAAAGGAATACATTATGCTGGAAAGAATTTTTTTTTAATTTTTTTACATTTATTTGTGTGGTGTGTGTGTGTACGAGTGTTCAAGGGCGGTCAGAGGACAACTATGGGAAGTTGGTTCTCCTTGCACTATGTGGGTTCCATGGATCAAACTCAGTTTGCCACACTTGGTCCCAAGCACCCTTACGCCATCTCACTGGCCTTCCCTCCCCCATAAATAGGCAATTTTTTTTTCTTAAAAGAAAGGGGGCTGAGTGGTTAAGAGCACTGGGTGCTCTTGCAGAGAACCAGGTTGGCTTTCTAGCAACTCCAATTCCAGGGGATCTGACACCCTCTTCTAGCCGCTGTAGACTTTCCACAGCATGGATGTGCTTAGACACATGCAAGCAAAACATTTAATAAAAGTAAATAAATTAATTTTTTTAAAGAAAAGGAGCTTAACAAATCAGTAAGCAGTATTCGTCCATGGTTCCTGCCTCTCCTCCTACTTGAGTCCCTATCTGTCTTCCCTCAAAGATGGACTATGATCTGGAAGGGTAAGCCAAATAACCCCTTTCCTTTTGGTCATGGTGTTTATCACAACAAAAAGCAAGCTAGGATAACAGCAATTATTTGTTTCTGTCCTGGAGGCAATATTTGGATTATATTTTCAAATTCATCATTTTTCTTTTTGTCTAGTTAGACCTATACTATTTTCTCCTAAGTTAAATTTGGCAATTTATATTTTCTTGTAAAGCCACATATTTTATCAAAATATTGTGGTAAAGCACCTTCTTGACCATAGCTACGCCATGTTGAAGTCTAGGCTGAATCTAGCCCAGGGCATGGGAACACATCAGCAGGCTCCTGGTTGCCTTGAGAACAGGGCAGCATGTTCCTGGTTGCTCCTGCTAACTGCAGATTTATGGTTTCTGCATTTTTTTTTTCCCACTTGGCTTGCTCTTGCAGAATAGCTATTGTCTTACAAGAGTAGAAATTGTTAGCTTTCCATTCCTAAGCTTGGCGTTGCTCCTGCTAACTGCAGATTTATGGTTTCTGCATTTTTTTTCCCACTTGGCTTGCTCTTGCAGAACAGCTATTGTCTTACAAGAGTAGAAATTGTTAGCTTTCCATTCCTAAGCTTGGGAACTTAAACTTTTCACCCTTGGATGTAGTTTTCTGTATAAAAGCTTACCCAAGAGATGGCTTGGTACTGTACTTGGGAACTGAATGCCCAGTGTAGTTGCCAGACAGCTAGAAAAATATATGAAGACTTTCTTTTGGCATACTTTTCTGTGTCTGAGTGGTCTTCTGCTGAAACAATATCATAACAATATTAGAACACACATGCATGGTATTTCTAATATTAAACTTGGTTTGTTCATGTCTAGCTTTGCTATATCTAATGATTACATCTTTCAGATATTTGTGGATATATTAGAGCCCTCAAAAATATTTTAGAAGGGACTGGAGAAATGGCTCAGCAGTTAAGAGCACTGGCTTGCAGAGGACCCAGGATCAGTTCCCAGCACCCACATGGCAGCTAACAACTATCTATAACTCCAGTTCTAGAAGATCTGAAGTCCTCTTCTGGCTTCCACAGGTATTGTGCCCACATGGTACACCTATATACAAGCAGGTAAAACACTCATACACATAAAATAAAAATAGATAATTAAAAATCTATTAGCCTAATAATTTTAATTATCTCATTCTATTGTTTTTTTATTGTGTGTATGTACGTGTATGTGTGCACACGCATGCCTGTGTGTGCATAATTAAGAGAAATTATTCTCTTAATTTTCTTGATGTGTGTCATCTTTTTGAGACAGGGTCTCCCTGTGGCCACAGCAGGCCTGGAACTCGCTATGTAGACCAACCTAGCCGTCGAACTGACAGAGATCTGCTAGCCTCTGCCCCTGAGTGCTGGGATTAAGGCATGGGCCATCATGCCCAGCTCTTGATCATATTTTAACCATTTCTTCTAATTCCTTCAGTTCATTTATTTAACTGTAAAAAAAAAAGTGAAATCATGACATTGGCAGGAAAATGGATGGAACTGGGAACATTATCAGAAAAGATAAAGACCATATTTTCTTTCATGTAGAACCTAGAGTTTATGTGTGTAGATAAATGTGAGTTGTGTGTGTGTGCATGTGTGTAGGTCATGAAACTTGAAATAAGATCCTGGAAGGATAGGGAAATACGCATGGCATGAAAACAGAAGGGGGTGATCTAACTAGGGGAAGGGAGGGAATCAGCCGGAGGCAGGCACAGAGAGAGGCAGGTGAGTTATTACTAAAACAAGGTATAATCTATATATGAAAATGTCATAATGAAACCCATTACTTTGTACACTAACTTTAGAAACTAAAACATTGTTAGCCTGATGTGTCATTCACACCGAATTTAGTATGGTTTCACCACCTTTCATGTTAACGGTCATCTTTTTCTCTGCATGGTAAAAATAATGACTGTATAATAACTCATCGCAGTAAAGACAGAAGATGAATATTCACCATGTTGGGAGAGCCTGGAATTCACAGTCATGAGAGCACTACACCTGGCAGTCAGCCTTCAGACACACTTTAGATGAGGGAAAAGGTGGTAGCATTTTGGTGGTGTAGGTTTAGGGATTCTATTCCAGTCTTTGATTTTACTACGTCTGGATGAATTCACACGACTAACTGGGCAACTTAGTTCTGTATCAGGTTTTTAATTAAAAAAAATTTTTTTTATGTGTATAAGTGTATTGCCTGAATGTATGTAAGCACACCACCCATACAGTGCTTGCAGAAGCCAGAAGAATGCACCAGAACCTGTGGAACAGGGGTTACGGATGATTGTCAGCCACTGTGTGGGAGTTGGGAACCGAACCCGGTCCTCTGGAAAAGCAGTCAATGCTCTTAACTGCTGAGTCATCCCTCTGGTCCCTAGTATCAGCCATAAAAGGATGCTTACACTTAATGAGGTAAAGAGTGTCCTAATTTCATTCTATTGCTGTAATAAAATACCCTGACAACAAACAACTCAGTGGAGAAAAAGTTTATTTGGCTTGCAACTCCCAGTTACAGCCCATTGTTGGGGGGAAGTCAAGACAGAAACTTAAAGCACCACCTCCACAGTCAAGAGCAGACTTGCTTAGTTCTCAGCTAGCTTTCCCTGTTCCTACACAGTTCAGGGCCTGGCTCAGAAAATGGTGCCTCCCACATTCACCCACTTCAATTAACAATGAAGACACCACCACCACCACCACCACCACCACCACCACCACCACGCATATCTTGTCTGGAAAGTTCCTCAGTTGAAACTCTCTTCCCATGTGGTTTTACGTTTTGTCAAGTTGATAGTTAATACTAACTGACCTGTACATCTAGAGAGATGCACCTGGCCCTGAGCCAGCTAAGAGGCTGTCAGTCATGTCTCTCCATCATGCTCAATAGAGGCAACGTTCTACAGTGGGGACTGGGATTTGTATGGAAGTATTCCTTCAGAGCTAAAAGGGGACCCATCTAAGCAGCCTCCTCCAGTTTCTGCTTTCTTGCTAGATGAGTGGTGTTAATAGGGAGATATAAAACCCTCCCACTCACCCTATCGCTACCTCAGTGTATGAATTTGTTCTCATTCGTTATCCTAAAATGAGTTCAGGGCTGGT